GAATATATAGTTTATTTGTAAAATAAATACTGCTCTCTAGCCCTGTGCTTGATTCCCTGTCCAGTAGGTACTTAATATGTGCCAAATCTTTTATTTTTATATCTCTAGAAAGCCATGTACTCTGTACCCCATACAATTTCTTATTGGATTATAATATAAATATGCTTTTAATTATTTTTAAATCTAAAATTGCTGCACAAAGTGTACTCCCTTGACATTTCCAATATCCAAGTTGCACAATACATAGTTATTAGCACTATGCTGCACACTTGAAACTAATACAAAATAATATTGAATGTACACTATAATAGAAAAGAATTCAACATTAAAAATAAGAAAATGGTGGACTTCACCAATTATCCAATTGTGCTATTTATACATCATGGTTATTGTAAAGCTTACATGAAATTAAAAGCATATATCCAAAAAAAGGTCCAAAATTTCTTAAAGAAATGATCACATATAGATTATTTCTACATTGCTTGTAAAACTGTTACTCAGGACACTATAATAATATTGACACAAATGAAAAAGAAAATCTTTACAGATGTGGAAAAGAATTCCTCTGCTGATATAATAGTTTCCTTTCTTTAGAAAAATGCCATTAAAACAATGGCCACCTTCCTTCCAAGGAAAGAAGAGGGGAATTTTCAATTACTTTAATAGTAATTCAAAATCCCTAGTGGAAATCACATACGTAAAAAAGGCCACTTGTCCTAGCCGGTTTGGCTCAGTGGATAGAGCATCAGCCTGTGCACTGAAGGGTCCCAGGTTCGATTCCCATCAAGGGCACATGCCCCTGTGTGGGCTCAACCCCCGTGGGGGGCATGCAGGAGGCAGCCGATCAATGATTCTCTCATTATTGATGTTTCTCTCTCCCCCTCTCTCTTCCTCTCTGAAATCAATAAAAATATATTAAAAAATAAAAAAGGCCACTTAAGCTAACTAAATGTAATTTTTTTATTGAGGTAACATTGGTTTATCACATTATATAAGTTTCAGGTGTACAACATTGTAATTCAACATCTGTATACACTACAGTTTCTAGCCGTCACCATACAATTGACTCCCTTTACCCATTTTGTCTCCCCTCCCTCCCCCTATCCACTTCTCCTCTGGTGACCATTAATCTGTTTGCATCTATGAGTTTGTTCTTGTTTTGTTTGTTCTTCTAAAATATATATGTGTTCCACATATGAGTGAAATCATATGGTATTTGTCTTTATCCATTTGACTTATAAACTGTAATTTTTGGCAAACATTCACTCATCTTTTAGAAACTTACTTCAGGGCTTAACTCCATCAGGAAGTTTCTCAGATGTCCCCTTAGTGACTTACTAGAGGCCCGGATTCGTGCACTGGTGGGGTCCAATTCTCTCCTCCCAACTCTAGGCTCATATACCAAAGAATAGCATCTCAAATGGCAATTCCCCGAAGTATTGAATATAGAATTACCACATGATTCAGCAATCCCACTTTAGGTATATGGCCAAAAGAATCGAATGCCGGATCTCAGATATTTGTATATTCACGTTGATAGCAGCATTATTCACAGAGACTGGTTGCACAACAATGTGAATATACTTAACACTACTGAATTGTACACCTAGAAATGGTTAAGATGGTAAATTTTGTATATACTTTACCACAATTAAAAGTTTAAAAAAATAACATGCCTTTGGTTAATTTGGGTTTTTTGTTTTCTTTGTGCTTGGAAATGAGTATTGGTGTCGCTGGTTCTGTAGTAAGCAATTGTGAATTTTCTTCTTAATGAATGTCAAAGGCTTTGCACACGTCAATGGTGTCTGTGGAAGGGAAAGAAGTTATACAGCATACTTATGGTAATACTCTACTACGGGAACGAGTATCTTTTCAAAGGAGTATCTTCCCAGCTTAATAGTACTACATGCCATATACACAGCAAACACAATGATTGTAGAGGCACATTTTGGGAAAAGAGCTCAAAGTTAGGATGGGAGGGGGGTTGTTAAACCTCTCTCTGAGACCTTAACACTATGATCCTCTTCTTTTCTTTTTATAGGATTTAATTTTTTTAATTATTATTTTCTTTAATCCTCACTCGAGGATATGTTTTTCATTAGAGAGAGAGAGAGAAGAAAGAAGAGAGAGAAAAACATTGAGGTGAGAGATCAACACCAGTTGCCTTTGCAAACCCTCAACCTGTGGTATGTGCCCTGACGGGGAATCAAACCCATGACCCTTCAGTGCATAGGGTGACACTCTAACCAACTGAGCCACATAAGCCAGGGCTGGTCCCCTTCTTTGAATGGACTATCTCACATCAGGCTTTAAAAAATTATTCACATAGCTTTTTGTAGAATATGAAAATACATTCAAAAATAATCTAGATAGTCCAAATTCACAGTGACAAGGAATTTAATGTGGGACATAAACCTGGTCATGATATAGGCAGTGGGCCTTCTCTATAGATAAATCTGCTTTGTGTCTAATTTTCAAGCATTACTTGCTCATTTATCTTTCCCATTTGTATTACTCGTTTCTAAAAATGAATATGCCAGCGATCTGCCCAGATCATTGACCTTTGCAAACAAAACTGTGAAGCCTAAGGGAACTGTATTAAGCCAGTTCTTGTTGGTTTTCTCTTCAGAGGGAAGTTTGATTGTCTTCCTGTGCTGACGAAGTTTAGGGAATGTGCCAGTAAATGTTTGCAGACTCTGTGTGTATGTGTGTACCCAATAACGAAGTCCACTATTTGGTTGGGCAAAGAATCAATCAACACTGTTTTTGTTCGGTCTCTAATAT